AGGTTCAAGGGTGCTACCTATGGAACATCAAAGTAACTACATGAGAAAGAACATCAAACATTGCCAAAAATCAGGACAGGGATTTCAACCTTATGGAATTGTGCAGTAATGGTATATAAAGAAAAGTCAGCAAGATAAAAAATATGGTGCTTTAATGCATTTCTGTGTTGTGCATCACAATCTGATTGCATATCTGGAACCCCTAAAATGCACAAAGACCTCCAAATAATGTAGAATCAAAAGAAATTTGAACTGACCTTTGCACCTGTGAGACAAGGAGGTGGCTGAAATGGTGGATGGGATATTACCATAGAATTACTAGTCCTTTTGCTAATTTTGTGTTGGTATGAAATAGATTCTCAGAATACTGGAGTCTCATTAACTGCTTACTGATAAGCTGTCTGACTGCTTGCTTCCCATTCGGCTGGGAGAAAATTCATTTCCCACTGCCTGGCTTGAAATGCTGAATAGCTGAGCTTATTAATTTTTATCAATATACCACCAGTGGCCCGAAGACAATTTTTCTCAATTCCTTCTCTTTTTAGAGTCTTGGCAAATACTGCTGCTCTGGCTTGCACAGCCAGACATCTCAGGATCAGAGGTCTTGGGCTCACATAGGGACAGGATTTTAAGAAACGCAGAAAGCAGCACTGGGCTGTCAGTAGGTGGTGTGCCAGAATGGAGTTGAGTAAGGCATAACACACGAGTGAAGCCCTTTAGGTAAAGTACAGAGTAAAAGTAATCCCGCCTGTGAGGTCATGGAGAGTCTTTGTTACCCCTTGTAAAAGCAGAAATAGAATTAATGTCCTGGTTGACAAGCTAGATCATGGAAATAAGTTTTATGCACGTGCGCGTGTGGTTTCTAGTGTAGTAATCCAGACCTGATCTGCACAGTAAAGGCTTTCCTGCAGCATGCACAGATCTCAGGCATGCCTCTAATAGGTAGAGTGTTGGACCACTTGGTTGAAGAGTCCTGTGTATGTGTCATAATCACATAAGTTAAATTCAGCTTGCTGCTTGTAGAGCTGTCAGCCTGAATGCTCTTGAAATTAAGCTTTCACAGTTTGCCATCTGGGTCCTGCATGAAGGCAAAAATGTTTCCCATCTCTAGTACCATGTATTAAGAGACAAAAATTGAAGTTTTCTATACACCTGCCAAGCCCACATCTTGGTACCAATTATGGTTGAGAGTTTTCTTGGAAAAACATCCATATTACAAAAATGAATCTTTTTGATAGAGTACTGGATGCTTTTAGTTTAGAAGTTTGTTATGCGTGACTGACATTGCATGCTTGCCTTCACAACCATAGTTACTCGATTGCTCTTTACTGAGTAACTCTTTACTCAGTTCTCATTCAGACAAGAATCCTGCTCACCTAAGAGATCTGAAGTGGCTAGTATCCGCCCTACTCAGCCCTAGTGAGGCCACAACTGTGCACTGTGTCAGCTCTGGGCCTCTCAGTACAGAAGAGACATGAAGCTCCTGGAACAGGACCAATGGAGGGCAACAAAGATGATTAAGGCACTGCAGCATCTCTCTTATGAGGAAAGGCTGAGAGAGTAGGGCCTGTTCAGCCTCAAGAAGAGATGACAAAGGGGACCTCATCAATGCCTGTAAGTATCTGAAATGAGGATGAATCCAGGCTCTTCACAGTGGTGCCAAGCAGTAGGACAAGGGGCAACTGGCAGAGACTGGTGTACAGGAAGTTCCACCTCAATATGAGGAAGAACTTCTTTACTATGTGAGTGACTGTGCACTGGAACAGATTGTCCAGAAAGGTTGTGGAGTCTCCCTTCCCGGAGGTATCCAAGAACCTTCTGTATGCAATCCTGTGCAATGTGCTTTAGGATGACCCTGCTTAGCAGGATGAGATGACCCACTGTGGTCTCTCCCTTCCAACTTGACTCATTCTGTGATTCTGTGTTACTTAATCCTCCAACATTAGGATACATTTGTCATTGAGCTTTAATTCAGGCTGGCGTGGCCCATAGGGGTGATTTTGAGCAACCCTGAAGAATAATGTAAGGTGACTTCTATGAGTTTTTCATAGGAGTGGCTTGCACCTGCTAAAACAGTAGCATTTTTTAAAAAAAGACATGACATGATTGCCAAGAGTTTTGTTCAAACTGTAAATGTTCTTCTGCTTTAGTTGCCATTTCTATCTACAGCTGACAGTCTTTAGAGGGTCCCTTTATCCTTCCGTATTTGTGAAATAACGAACAGTCCTGCGTTTGGTTTGATTGTGTGACCAGATCTAACTCTGTGAGATTGCAGGGAGATAAAGTCTCTTCACAGCCCTAAGGTAGGCATAGAAACATGCAATTGCTACTACTTCTGCTGACTTTGTGCCTAGATGAAAGAAATTCTCAGAATATTAGTGTCATTTACAAAACTGCAAAAGGTATCCAGATTGGAGGGCGAACATAGTCATTGCAGAGCATTGATGTAGTACATTTCTGTTTCTAAATTAATAACATAGATTTAGCTCAAAAGGGTGAGGTGAAGTATGTGCCTCACTTCACTCCAAGTTAACCTACTCTCTCCACGTAGACCTTGCAAGCTGAAGTCCCATAGCCTTGGTATAGATAGATGGGAGCCAGCTAAATGAACAGGTGGTTAAAGCCACTTTGAATTCCGGATTTGAGTTATCTTATGGCTGTGATGTTTATGTAGAAGTTATTTTTCTGGGTGCCAGTACACGCCACTGACACTTCTCACTTTCTCTAACAGTGGTACCACGTCCCCGACATGACATCAGGGCCCTTCTAAAGGCTGGTATCCCTGTTTCAAATAAGTGTCTACAAATACTGAAACCATGGTGGTTGCTGGTGTGTTATGCACTTTATGATTGGGTATAGGAGGAAAGGAGACATTTTGATAATTCTGAAATGGACATTTCTTTTTTAGGTTTGGTCAGGGTTTTTGTTTGTTTGCTTGTTGGTTTGATTTTGTTCTGTTTTGTTGTTGTTTGTTTGATTTTTCTTTTAAAGTAATTGTGTACCTGAACTGTAGCCCTAATAAAATAATTGACAATATCTGAAATTGTAGTTTCATGAGAAGAGCTACAGCTCTAGAGGTCTCCAGCACATCAGTGATGGTTCTTACAGACATATTTGCATCTGGTGGGAGCTGCATAAGTATTTAGTTGCATATTTGTGTCTTTGCTGGTGACAGTATATTAATAAGCACTTGTCCATTTATTAACAATAAATGAAAAAGAGAGAAAAAGCAAGCAAGGCTTATGTGCTTAAACTGTAGCATCAAAGAAACATATAATGAGAAAGAGGAATCAGCTTGCAAATGAGTCCTTAATTTAAAAATAAGGCAACATCATTGCATAATTATATTTTTAATTATTTGACTAATTATTGACTAATTGACTATAACACATGAAGACAGTGCTAACAAATCATGGCTTTGCGAAATGTTTACTTTCAGGATCAGTATAACACTTATTTGCACAAGCAGTAATACCAAATTGAAACATCTAGACTGCCTCAAAACTGGATGTCATTGGTGAAAGTAGGATGTGAATCTCGATTGGTTTCTTTAATTCTTTTTTCTGCAGCACGTTCTTAAAATCAATGTGTAGAGACTGAGAGAAATAGCAATTGTGATTTTCAAATGAATTTTTTTTTTTCAGAAATTATTAGGATATTTCTTCTGGAATCTTTTGTATAGGTAATATAAAACACTGTGGCACTATATTCTATCTCTTTTCTCTAGTGGAATATTTCACTGGGATTATTATCACAACTATTTTGCTACGTTCAGTGAAATTAACATTGATTCCATTTCTTGAAATCATATGGAGACTGCAACTGCAGTCTGCCTTATTATCGAATGAGTACAATTTGCCCTTCAATAATTCTCTAAACTCTCAAATGCCTGGGAAATAATATGCTGGAGTGTTACCAAACTGTGACTGAAGTACCATTTGTGCAAAGTGTGGCAGTGCACAAATGACATTCCACAATAAAAGTTCAAATGACATTAATCTTCCACAGAGGTTCATTGACTGGGTAGATGCTTCAAATACCATATAAAGGCACTATTGTCCCACTTCACATTATTTCTGAGTAGTTCCTCTGTATCACTCTTTTGCAAACATGTTCATTAGTTTTTCTGTTATATATATAATCAATGAGAAATTAAAAAATTTAATATAATATTTATGCAACTACATCAGTGAAAAGTTTGCATTTGCATTTGCTGTAGAGAAATCCTCTTGAGAGTGGTATCATTAGGAATATAATGGTAGGCAGTGTAATCCACCCATTTTCATTCCTTGTTGACAATGGCATATAACTTGTTTTGTGGGTTTGCTTCCGTCTGCCATCCTGAATTACAATTGGCTGAAAAAGGCGCAGCTCTGACCACTGTTATTTTCTCACTTTGTCTTTGTAAGATCCCGGTACAGGGAAGGGAAATTAGGATTACCTAAATGGAGATTTAAATTTAAATGGAGATTTATTTTGTATGAGTTTTGGAAATTGAAGGAATGACCTTTGAGGGTTTGTGAAATTTGGCGGTAGGAATATGAGCCTCAGAGCTTGGTTATTTCACTTTCAGATCCTTCTCTTTTGCTTACTTGGATTTTGTTCTTTGGCCATGGACTATCACATTTTACTTCCCTCCCTAGTGAACTGTAGGTTAGAAGGGCATTGCCCCTGGTGTCACACAGGCATGTGAGAATCAGTTACTCAATATCTGCTCAGTTCTTTCAGTGAAATTTCAGTGTCCAGTCTTGACTTGAAGAACTTAATTAGTGAAGAAAATATGGACCAGTGAACTTGTGATCCTGCAGCGTAAATATGAGCCCATTTTTTCCTTCCCTGATTTTCATCATTTGTTTAGCTGCATGTCATTGAGCATTCTGCACTCCTTTGAAAGCCAAGACCCCATCTAAACCTACCCATGTCTTCAGAGGCCAGAATTCACTTTTCGTGGCTGTGATTTTGCTGGAAACAGGGAGAATAAATCCAGGTCCTGGCAAGAACACATGCTGTTTGGTGCAGCAGTCCTTTGCTCAGTTGCTCAGAGCCTGAACAGGGAAACAGCCCCTAGGGACCAGTGGAATCTCATCCTCATCTAAGGCTAAAAATTGATTTACTTTTTCATTTATCAGCAAGGAAATTGCTTTTTTTTGGGCTGTGATGAACCAACCTTCTGACAACACGTCAGAGATTAATTGCTAAAGACCAGAAGGGACTGCTATGACCATCTAATCTGCCTTCTTGCATAACATAGACCTTTGGACTTTCACTAAATAACTCACACTTGAAGGCCACTGTATCCCCAAGGAAAACAGCCAATCCTGATTTTATTACCGGAGCCCACTGCAACTCAGCACATTTTTCAATGAAGCTATCTGGTAACTATTTTGTGGTCTTTTCAGTGTGTGCTGTAGTAATTAATTTTTTTCCTTTGAATTTTTTGATCAAGATCTAATCAAGGAATTGATTAGATTAATTCCTCTATACCAACTGTGAGGAGGAGACTCTTTCAAGATAATCTGCTTCCTGCTCCAGGAGGCTTCATATTTTTCTTTTGAATTGATGAGGACAATTGAATGACAGCAATCATGAACCAGCCGTCCTCCTCTTCTTCTGTGTGGTGCAGGCAGGTTCCCTGTGTGTTCTCTGGTGCTGTGAGTCTTACACATAAGCTTGTAGTGGGACAAGAAGGCACAGTTTCAACAAAGACATCTCCTGGTGTGTAACCCACACAGTGGGAACCTCCCAGGGAAATGGGAGCTGTGGGGTTGATGACCCTCAGTCTGAAGTAGAGCTCAGATTTTAAGTCTCCCTTTCCTGGGTTTGCCACCATGTTGTCGTGCAAAGTCAGGTTACCACTGTGACTGTTGCATCATCAGAAGAATACTTAGAGTGCTGATTCCTCTGAGGAAACCTAGAGGACCAAAGAGAGAAAAAGACATTTGATGAGCTGAATCAGATTCCCCACAGACTGGTTGCGGAGCCTTTGCTCTTACATAGGCAGCCTGAGTCACCCTCAACATTAAGTACCTATAGTAGGTCATGAGAGTACAGTCCATGTCTACATGGACTCCAGTGGTGCTGGAGTGGTGCTGCAGTAATGGTTGTGAGATGTCTGCTAGTGCAAGACAACTCTGGGGGCCAGATGAGGGAAGTCACAGAGCCAAAAAAAAAAAAAAAAGGCAAGACAATGTAACAGTTATGACCTGATTTCCTGTGCAGCTGCTCTTCATGCAACTGAGTCACTGTTCCTGCTAGGGCTTCTGCTTACCTCTGAGTATCAGTCTGTGGTGGTGCATCCTCCAATTATTTATTGATAAGGACCATCTCTGCCCACACTCTATAGTCATCTGTATTTGCTGCAACAAAGATTAATAAGCTACCGGGTGATGAGTAAATATTTAACAACATTTTTCTTTGCTTTGCTTTGCATGTAAAATAAATATATTTGCAGAATATTCATTTTCCCTAGGTCTGGCAGCTTCCTAGAGTCTTTCACTTTTGACTCTCAGCAGATATGTTCATATGCTGTATCTAAAAGGATGGTGATGCAATCTTTATGTTTTGCATATAGCAAACATTATGTTTCATCCTCCTTTGAGAAAATCCGTTTCTGAGGTTTCAACTAAATGTGTCTCATCTTCATATTCAGTATGGCTCCACTTATGCTGCAGCTTCCAAATTATTCTAACCCTTGTGTGCCTTTTTTTACTAGGATTTTTCAAGAATTTTCAAGTTCCATTTTGTTCATGGTAAAATTTATTGATAAGACAAAAGGGCTTCCTTTTAGGGATTGAAATATTGATACTTTTACCTTAATGCTTATGTTTTAGTCCTCAAAATATATTACACTGTTGAATTCTTTGTTCTCTAGGTGAACACTGTTTCTTCTACAGTACCTTATTATCTGTCTTCAAGAAGAATCACATCAAACAAACCATTATGAACATACCTTTAAAAAGGCCTTGTAAGAAATATTTGTTTCAACTTCTATGGAAATTATTGCCCAGGACTGTATTTATCCTTGCCACTGGTAACTGGACTTTAACCTTCAGCTGTTATATTTGTTACTTTTCTTCTTCTGAGTCTTCTTAAGCAGAGCCCCCTTGGTGGCAGTCTACTGATTTCCCACTGTAGACTGGTATTTGCAGAGATTGTAGGTATCTATACCCTTAATTGGACCACACGTTTAAAATTATGTCCATCATATCTTTGTTAACTACCTAACTTTTATGAAAAGCAATTTTATCCATAATCTTTTTTAACTCTATTATTAACAGATTAAAGTAACTTCTGTCCCCTGGAGTTAATAGTAGGGTATAACTAGTTAATAAGTGCTACTCTTCCACACTGCAACTTTTATTATGTGGCAGAGTCATCCTGTGAAGTCCTGCCATTCTTATCAGTTACTTCTAGCTCTTTATTTTCTAATCCCTCACCCCATGTAATCACCTCACCTTTCTGCAATAGGGAAGGGGTGGATATGTGTTCCTTTTTGCCTTTCCTCTCCCCACTCCTCACACAGTACTCAGTAAACATGAGCAGTGTGATATTCCTCATGGACTTAAGACAGAGAATCTTTGAGCTACTCAGATGGAAGGCATGGGAATGTATCACATACCTAAATAGCTTGAAGGACAGTTAGCAGACAGTAATCCATTTCACAAAACTCAGAGTTGCCCTCACATTGCTCCCAACACTCTTGCTGACTCTCCAAGCATTCCCTGTACACGCCTATCTTGTAAAAACAGCTTTCAATTAAAAAAATATAGTTCACTTTATAAAAAACATATTCTTGGAAAATAAAATACATTGAGATTGGCTTGTAAGTTCTTCATAAATATATTACCTCAATAGATAATTTCATCTGTGACCTTCTGGATCAGACTCTCTCCCAGAACAAAATTCATTCAAGAGTTTCAATCAACAATCATTAGAAATACCACTAAAGACTCAAATTCCCCCTCTGTTTCGGTATAAGATTGTATGAGCTTTAGATTTGTGACCAAAACACAACCACTCCCAAAATTACATATACCAGTATTTCTGTACCATGTCGAAAGTATAAAGGGAAGAAGGAGAATTTTAGAAACATGGATGTAAACCCACTTGGATAATTCAAGGGCTAGGACAATAATTAGTGAAGAGCCAGAAAACTTTCGTGTAACTCTGCATGCTCTTCAAAGTTTTGAGGTCACATTCTTCTCTGAGTTATGAACACACGGCCTTTATTAAGGGCTGTATGTCAATAATCTGGGCACAGAGAAGGTTCAAACTTTGGTTAGAGGAAACAATTCCTGACTGTAACATTCTGAGTTGCACTCTACGTTTCTTCCAAAACAGTTTATCTGCTGAAAATTGCAGACTAAGGAGGAAAATAAAGTTGAAGGGAAAGCAGGAGACCCTGCTCTTTTCACTCCTTTCTTCCACCACAATTGCTAGTTATTGTACTTCACAACCCTTAAACTTACATTTGTTGCAATGGGTTTTTTTTCAGATTTTCTTTTTATTTTTAAATAAGTGTCCTACAGAATCCAGGGCCAGAAACTAATGTGACTGTATTTGATGTTTTTCTAGTTTGATATAAAAAAAGGGGTGTTTCCTACTCCTGATCATTTATCACAAATTTTATTTGATCAAATTGAACATTTTTAAATGGTTATTTATTACAAATTGTATTTGATTTAATTGTATGATTTCAAATTTGAAATTATACTGTCCAGACATGCTGGGTCTTGTTTCTATTGACCTAACCTTTCTGTTAGTGACCTATCTTTGTGAAGTAAGTGTTTTGCTTCTCTATGTTTTGGCTTGGCTTGCCTTCTTAAAATTTTATTTTATTTTATTTTATTTCATTTCATTTTATTTTATTTTTCAAGGGGAACAAAGCAAAATGATTGGTGCTTCAGGTCTCTTTGAAAGAAAGCAAAACTTCACAGGGAACTTCTTCGCGCTAAAGCAGAGGAGAACAAAGCCTTTGAATAAAAGACTTGAATTCCATCTGTCATTTCCACCCACTACTAAATCTACCAAAGACTAAACATTTATCCCACTGAGCTGAATACACTGATATCTAACTGCAGTGCCATTGGTCACTGTAGAGCATAGGCTTGGCTTTTTAGCTTTTTGAAACTGTTAACATAGATTTAAGTGCAACAGAGGAGGCATGAAGCCATGAATGTTTTATTGGAGAGCTCCAGATCATCTCTCAGCAGGTGAGTCCAGCACCATCACTTACAAGATTAACCTCCTATCTCTACAACAGCAATTATGACAGGAACTGCCTTATTAGGTAAAGCATATTAGATAAATTGAAACTCTATTGATAAATTCATTCAGTAAAGCTGACCTCATGGCTCCCAGGCTACATGGGAAAATCTATAGTCTTTGTCCTTTCATGCATAGGGATCAGCAGGCAAATGAAGAATTAGTGAGTGTCCATGTGACTTAAAGAGCATATTAAGAATGTGTCTGTTTTGCAAATGTCTAACTTCTCTGTGTACCATACAGTCTTTGGGGTCTCACTTCAACAGTCAGGCTCAATAAGACATAACACATTTCCCTTCCTTTCCTAGGAGGAATTTGCTAAGTAATCATTCCTCTGAGGCGGCTTCTTCCAAGCTTCTAAGCTTTGGTTTCAGCTTCATAACACCCTGGTGTGTTGAGCAGGTGCAGCATTTTTGCAGTGGGGAGGAAAACTCGGAGGAAGGGCTGTTAATATCCAAGTTTTCAAAAGCAATGTTGGATTGTCATGCTCTTCTGTGCTTTGATCTGCTTTGAGTCTCCTCACAACCAGCACTCAGGGAAGCATGATTTGGCTGTACCTCCAGTTAAAACGGTATGAATCTGGAAGTGCTCAGGGCATCTGGAGTCCAAGCCTGTGGTATCTGAGGATGTAAAATAATATATCGCCATGGGAAATACAGTCCAGTGTGACTGGGCTTGGGAAACATGAAAAGGCTTTGCCAAAGCTGAGAACCTAAATGCTCAGTACCTGTTCTAGCGATAGACCTATACGATTGTATTTTCCTCTTGTCTTCAGACAAAAACAAGACAACTAATTTTTCTGTTGTTTCTATTTAGCAGGATAGATCATATTATTTTCCAGACCAGAAGTACTGATTAGTTATCAGCAGCTGTCTCTGTAGAGCATTTGTAGTTAGCATGATGTTTTAGAAGTAGCTTAGCAATGTGACTGTTTTGTGGGTTTTCTAGTTTAAATTGTAGAATCATAGGATGACTCGGGTTGGAGGGGACGTTAACCATCACTTAGTTGCAATCTCCCTGCCTTGGACAGGGACACCTTTCACTAGAACAGGTTGCTCAAAGCCCCATCCAGTCTGGTCTTCAAGACTTCAAGGGACAGGGAGTCCACAACTTTTCTGAATAACCTGTGCCAGTGCCTCGCCACACTCACAGGAAAGAATTTCTTTGTAATAGCTAATGTAAAGCTACCCTGCTTCAGCTTAAGACCCTTGTCCTATCACTACATGCCCTTGTTAAAAGTCCCTCTACAGCCCTCTTATAGGCCGCCTTTAGGTACTGGAAAGCTGCTATAAGGTCTCCCAAGAGCCTTCTCCTCTCCAGGATTAACAACCCCAACTCTCTCAGCCTGTCTTCATAGGAGAGATGCTCCAGTCCTGTTATCAACTTGATGGCTCTCCTCTGGACTTGCTCCAGCAGGTTGATGTCTTTATTGTGTTGGGGGTTCCAGAGCTGGACACAGCACTCCAGGTGGGATGTCATAAGAACAGAGTAGAGGGGCAGAATCACCCACCTAAACCTGCTGGTCACATCTCTTTTGATGCAGCCCAGGATGTGATTGGCCTTTTGGGCTGCAAGTGCACATTACCGAGTCATATTGAACTTTTCATCCACAAACACCAACAAGCCATTCTCACCAGGACTAGTCTCTATCCATTTTCTGCCCAGCCTGTACCTGTACTTGGGATTTCCCCTGCCCAGGTACAGCACCTTGCACTTGGCCTTGTTGAACTTCGTGAAGTGCACACAAGCCCACCTCTTAAGCCTGTCAAGGTCTGTCTGGGTGGCGTCCCTTCCCTCCACTGTGTCTCCCTCATCACATAGCTTGGAGTCATTAGCAAATTTACTGAGGGTACAACAACTCATCTAGGTATATTTTCTCTCTGAAAAAAACTTCCAAGCATATGCTGGATATTTTATTGCATTGCAATACCTTTAAATGTAAGGTGAGAGGATGGGGGATAATTTCTCCAAAGTAAAACCAAAATAAAGCAACTTCAATTCTAAAGAATAATCGAGACATTGAAGGGATTGCTTTAATTTTTAAAATACCTAACTTCAGTGGCAGAACAGACAACAAAGGGATAGGGATACTCCACAAGAAACAATGCCTTATTTTCCAAACCCTTGTTTTGTTGTCATGTCATGCCATTCACTGTAGTTACCATACATGAGAATTGTGAAAATTGAAAATCCTTTATATAGGCTAAGGAAATAATTACTGGACTATGTATTTGAAATATTAGTTCCTGCCAGAGGTGGGTATCAGCTCAAATATTGAGAGTAGTGGTCTTGGGGTATGGGCCCACTCTGATGGGGAAGATATTGATGCAGCTGGTCCAGAGTGTGAGGGTCAGAGGGAAGTAGATGGGTCTCCATACAGACCAAAAAGGTATCTACACAGCTTATAGTGTTCCTGGTTGCAAATTTGGAGCATGATGTTTCCTTGCTGCACACCCCCACACTGCCCCCACCTTTGCTGTCTATACCAGGAAGGGAGGGAGTGGGAATATCCTCTGCCCCAAGTGGGATGTCTGTGACTCTGAGAGTCTTGTAGTTCTGTCACTGATGTTTTTAAGATGCACTCAGAGTGTGAGTGTGTGAATATGTGTGTGTAATACTTGTGGAAAAAATATCCCAGCTTATTGGAAAAGTCAAAGTGATGGAGTAAGACTTTTGGAAAAATATTGTCTTGGAAGGTCAAATGAGGGATCTGACTGACCATGCAGCTGCAAAATATTAATGAAGTGCAAGAGCCAAAAGTGGGAAATATTTTATTTAACTGTCCTTTTCAGTGATAAACCTGCACTGAAAAGATATAAAAATATGCTTTATCTTATAGCTTCAAGGAGTTTCAATTTGAATGTATGACACCTAAGCTATTTGTCATGAGGGGAAACTTCAGGTGATAGGAAAAAAATGTGTTTAGCTGATCTATATGGGGTTGGGAGGCTGCTTGGTAGAGGTGGCAGGGCTAGAAAGTCTGGAACAATGATCAGCACCATGACAGGGAGAAGGTGCATGTGAGAACAGGGCAAGAGGACCTAGAGTGTAAATGTACATGGTGCAATGGGTCTTTTATCTTCATACAACTGATCATGCTCCCTTTAAAAGGACCAGTCTGATTCCAGGAAAAGGGTCTACATGTGAAGCTGTAGACCAGGTATCTCTGCATCTGGTGCAAGGAATCATATGTGCTTGTCTTCCTGTGGGCTCTAGCTTCATTCCATCAGCTCTGATGGGACTGACATATAAGCAGGTAAACTTTAAAGGAGCTTTCAGAATCTCTTTCTGGACCTGATAGTGTCTCACTCTGCCTGTAGTAGCAGTAAGTCCTAAAATTCTGACAAGACTTTCCAATTGTGGCATTGGGTTATTTGTATCTGGGTTGATGTGACACAGAAAGTGTTAGGCAGATATTATGGCTCTGGTGCTGTGTGTTATTACAGAAACTTTTCCCTAGCTTAATTTGTTGTTACCAAGTACTAGCATCCCAGTTTGACAGGGAAGGATTTGAGGTACAGGATCTTTAAATGACTTGCTGAAGGCCAAGCACAAAACTTGTGCTTATGGAGATATTTAGGTATTTAAGTTCCATTGACCTTAGTGGCACAGGATACCTAAATATAAATGTGGGTATGGCCCGTTAGTTTTGGTAGAAGTGAAAACCAAACCCAATGCTACCTGACTCGAGTTTCTGCTGTGACTATACTACTGTGACTGCAGTAATCTTGTCCACCTCGGATTGCCATCATCCAGATAACATTACTGAAGTTCTGCATGTAACAGCAGGAGGGTTTGGAGGACCTTCACAAACGTTGTTCTTTCTCTCAGGAATCACCCCA